ATGAGATTGAGAGGGGGGCATCTGTATTGTTTTACCACGGATGTTTTAAGATGGCAGAAGGGAAGATCCTGGAGAAAATGGTATTAGAATAGATTTCGGTAGTTTTATCTTATCTTCCTAGAAGAGTTTTTTTTGGATCCACGATTTTGCCAACTGATTTTTGCTAGGTAGATTATTACTTGTATGTATATTTATAAGAGCATAAATACTTAAACACACAATGAAATATTTCCAGGGGCAACTAGAAAGTGGAGATACAGACTGTTTACATACCTACGTGAGACTTGTGTAAAATGTCGTTCCATTAGGTGTAACTAAATACTCGCTGTTTCTATAACATAGCCTCAAATACAGAATTACACTTTGAGTACTCAAATCATAGATATGATTATTCATGATGTCTTGGGTTTGGTCTCGATCACATTACCGTGGAGATGACTAATCAATCAGGAATGTGCCTTTCAAGGAAACAGGAGACATCAAGTATTCTCACTGAACTGCTCATGCTGTCAGATGTTTAGTGACCTAGTCATATAATTTTCACCGTTATTTCGCCTTACACGGCCAGAAGTATCTGTTTCGTTTCATAGTTTCGAATGAGGTCACGATCTATAGACGTCCCATGAAGAACCATTGTTCAAATCTTTGTTTAATTCGGGACAATCACAGCAGTTTCCAATCATTAAAGTTGAACTATTGGTAACTACCCGAACACCCGTCATATGTCATTACTTTGTTAAATGTTAAGGTCCCTTTAAGGCTGAAGGAAAATAGTCGGCAATATGAAATGTTTTCGTATGTAGCTATTGCTTTGTTGTTGCCACATTTGTTATATTGTAGCAATATTGTAGCAATATTGTAGGCAACTTTTAGCACAGATTTAGTATCATCATGAAACTGTTTTTGTTGCTTATTGTTTTGTTATAGCCTATGAATTTATTTCATATTTTTTTATATGTGTAGCTTGTCTTTTGCAAAATCATTGTAGCCTCGGGTTTAAAAGGTCAATATTTTCCCTTGTAGCCATGTGTTTCAAATGTCCGCAGGTTACCTCATAGCCATGTGTGTAAAATACCCATTTCTTTGATGTAACTATGGGTTTAAATTATCAATTGATTTCATGCAGCCATGGGTTTTGGAGACAATTTGCTTCAACTAAACTAACAATCAAAGTTTCACCATCAAAGGCTTGGTTGCGTCACTTGAGACACTTTCTGGTAGACATTCACGGGAATGTGCTAAATATGACACTGTTTTGTCAACATGATTCGCGATCCTTGCTATGACCTTGGCATGGATTTTTCACAACTCCTGACAAACCAGTACTTTGATAAGTACTGGCGTTGACGTTTTGAATTTAAAGTGTCCATAGTATTCATTGTGGCCATTGGTTTTGTGTGTCCATTGGTTTTGTGTGTCCATTGCTTTCAATGTAACCATGGATGTAGTATATCAATTACTTTCATTGCTTGTATGGGTTTAGTTTGTCTATTGCTTTCATTGCCAGCATCGGTTTTAGTGTGTAAATTACTTTCATTGTAAACATGGATTTAGTGTATGAACTACGTTCAATGTTAGCGTGGATTTAGTGTTTCCACGGGTTACACTGTAACCATCGGCTTTAGTGTGTCAGTTACTTCCATTGTAGCCGGGGTTTAGTGTCTCCATGGGTTTTGCTGTAACCATAGATTTGAGGGTGCCAATTACTTTCATTTTGGCCACGGGTTTGGTGTGTCCATTGCTTTCATTGCAGCCATGGGTTAGGTGTGTTCATTGCATTCATTGTAGCCTTTGGTTAAGTGCGTCAATGGGTTTAGCGTACCCATTACTTTCATTGTAGCCATTGGTTTAGTTTTTCCATTGTTTTCATTGTAGTCATGGCTTTAGTACATCCATGGGTTGAGTGTGTCCATTGCTTTCATTGAAGCCATGGGTTTAGTGTTTCCATTGTTTTCATTGTAGTCATGGCTTTAGTACATCCATGGGTTGAGTGTGTCCATTGCTTTCATTGTAGTCATGGGTTTAGTACATCCATGGGTTAACTGTGTCCATTGTTTTCATTGTAGCCATTTGTTTAGTACATCCATGGGTTTAGTGTGTCCATTGCTTTCATTGTAGCCATTGGTTAAGTGCGTCCATCGGTTAAGTGTGTCCATTGCTTTCATTGTAGCCATGGGTTTAGTGTGTCCATTGCTTTCATTGTAGCCATATGTTCAGTGTGTCCATTGCTTTCATTGTAGCTATGGGTTAGGTGTGTTCATTGCATTCATTGTAGCCATTGCTTAAGTGCGTCCATGGGTTTAATGTGTCCATTGCTTTCATTGCAGCCATGGGTTCAGTGTGTCCATTGCTTTCATTGAAGCCATGGGTTTAGTGTGTCCATTGATTTCATTGTAGTCATGGCTTTAGTACATCCATGGGTTGAGTGTGTCCATTGCTTTCATTGTAGTCATGGGTTTAGTACATCCATGGGTTAACTGTGTCCATTGTTTTCATTGTAGCCATTTGTTTAGTACATCCATGGGTTTAGTGTGTCCATTGCTTTCATTGTAGCCATTGGTTAAGTGCGTCCATCGGTTAAGTGTGTCCATTGCTTTCATTGTAGCCATGGGTTTAGTGTGTCCATTGCTTTCATTGTAGCCATGGGTTTAGTGTGTCCATTGCTTTCATTGTAGCTATGGGTTAGGTGTGTTCATTGCATTCATTGTAGCCATTGCTTAAGTGCGTCCATGGGTTTAGTGTGTCCATTGCTTTCATTGCAGCCATGGGTTCAGTGTGTCCATTGCTTTCATTGAAGCCATGGGTTTAGTGTGTCCATTGATTTCATTGTAGCCATTGGTCAAGTGCGTCCATGGGTTCAGTGTGTCCACTGCTTTCATTGCAGTCATGGGTTTAGTGTGTCCATTGTTTTCATTGTAGCCATGGGTAAGTGCGTCCATGGATTTAGTGTGTCCATTGCTTTCATGGTAGCAATGGGTTTAGTGTTCCCATAGGTTTTGTGTGTCGAATGTTTTCATTGCAGCCATGGCTGTTATGTGTCTATTGCTTTAACTTTAACCATCGAGTGTTATTTGTTTTATGTGCATCTATCTATGCAATTGGGATACGATGATATGCATCAACCAAGTCAGCGAGCCTGACCACCCGATCCCGCTAGTTGCCTCTTGCGACAAGCAAGGGTTGCTGAAGACCCATTCTCCACCTGGATCTTCACGGGTTCATTGCTATAGTTAAAGTGCCAGAACAAAGACAGAACCCAGATAATACTTTTTATCCAATACCTCTGATATAACTGTACACAGTCTGACGTCTAACCATAGTTGTCGTTGATCTAAGATGATGAGGTATCAGATACGTACATTGTCTTGAATAATGTATAGAAATGAAATCATTGCCAATAACGTAGAGCTAAATGATAATCTAAGTGGCCCATAAATCTATTTCCAATATCCGAACATTCACATAAGCCATAACGATAAGTACCAGCGAGTGCATTAGGGCTTAAATTACTGTCACCCTCGAAACCAAGATGAAGGAGTTTCTCGCCTGCAAGAAGCCCACGACGAGCCTGAGAAGCAAGAAGCGACTGACATAAACGAGTAACGAGGATGATATAAGGGTAATCCGATTCTAACACATTTTGTTTACATCAGCAGTAATGTGTGTAAGTGCGTGCGTGCGTGCGTGCGTGCGTGCGTGCGTGCGTGCGTGCGTGCATACGCGTGTGTATCGTTTGAACAGTTATAATGACGCCCCATCTAGCACATGATGTAGTTTGCGGTAGACTTTCATAATTGATAATAATTGTGATATTTTAGCCGTACTAAAGTCATTTCCATACTTTGGAAGTCATTTGTCAAAATTGAAAGGCATTCTTGAAAGTCCAAACTAATATCACGTGATGTTACTAATTGATACAAGATATGAAGTATGTAGAAAGAGCTTCACAATCGTTGGACTTCTCGGAGAAATGGGGAGTATTGTACTCCTAAGAATGTATATGAGTCTTTTGGGCACCTCGGTAGTGTCATCGCTGGTCCTTTCTTGTATGTTTTCGCAATCAAATATAGAAGACGATGCATGGAATGAGAGGAGGATGGACCAACCAAGATCCCGTCTCCAGTGTACCGAAGTTTGTCTGAGGGATGAGAGATGCAGAGGAATCCAATTCAGGAGATCGGAATGCAACATCACTGACCAGGCCGTTACAGCGAGTGCCCTCGGGGGGCCAATCAGGTATTATAGATTTAGGTGTTGCGAACTGGGAACGGCTACGAAATCTGCGACGCCACCGTCGAAGACGTCTTTACATCTCAGACTAACAACAGCGATGCCACTCACAGCGTCACCTAAGCTAGCTACCACGATGCGGATATCGAAACGGCTTGCATCAAAATCACCGCCTCTCCCACCAGTTTCAACAGTTTCAAGGCAAAGAAATATGTCAATTTCATCGGACATCGTAGCAGTATCGCCGCCTGCAATGGCAGAAAAAACAAACCCATTTGTGACTCAACTAACGTCAATCTCCAAAACAGCTTCAACAATACCGATGGAAACTGCGGTGGCAACTACAGGTGATATATGTCCAAGAATATGAATCATAAATTTTGCACTTTAGAATATTGCAAACAATATTTCCAACCAAAGGAGAGGAATGCTAGTCAAGGGTCGCGAATACCTGCGTTTTAACTGAGACCAAACGCATCATTACAATTCCTCATCATTCAGTGGCATAACGTTTCAAAGGAAAATATATGAAATATAATGAAAATAAATGTGTGTGTGTGTGAGAGAGAGAGAGAGAGAGAGAGAGAGAGAGAGAGAGAGAGAGAGAGAGAGAGAGAGAGAGAGAGAGAGAAAGCATTATTACAATCAACATAGTGTGATGTTCATTCCTATTATAGCCAAAGTGTGGTATTTTGAAGTATTCCCTTACGTTTTCCAATTACAGAGAGTCAATGTGCCCTTTATACCATAACCGTCAAAACAGGAACGGATAATGGGGCTGGTACCAACTCCTTTGTTCTGCTCAGTCTCCTGGGGAGCCAAGGGAACTTCACACATGAATTAGGAAGCGTCGACGGTGATGACTTTGAATCTGGTTTTACAGACATATTCCAGGTATCATTAATACGTATTTTTTTACTTCATATCAAATGACCCTCCCAGATATTCATTACATTTCCAGAGACCGTAACTCCGGATGGAGAGGATGAGAACCTCTAGGACTAACATTATATTCGTGTTCATGTCATACTTTGTTTCACGACACTCGTGTAGTAAACATAGTATAACATGAACATGAATATAAAATTGTCTATGTATTGTGAGTTGAGGTGAAATGGGGTTTAACGTCGCGTCCAAGATTATTGCACTTATATAGCGACGTGCATGCACGTGTATGTGTGTGTGGCTACTAGCCTACTAGTGTACTAGTCCGGACTGATGCCGATTTATAGTGCTAGCACACTGAGATACCATGCCGCAGATTTAACATGAATACCCAACTCAGACACAGTAAACTGACACCGAGCCGACCAGTCCTTGTTTTAGTCCCTTAATGCCGAGCGTCAGACAGGGTAACAACCAGTACCATCTTTTAACGTCTTTTGGTATGACGCGGCAGGGTAACAACAAGTACCATCTTTTAAGTTCTTTTGGTATGACGCGGCCGGGGATCGAACCCCGGACCTTCCGCACTCTGGGCGCACGCTCTACCATTAGACCACGGAGGCCGTCCCTATGTATTGTGCAAAACACTTCAATTTATCTTGTCCCCTGCGTGCTGGTCTTTCTTTTCACACAAATTCAGACCCCATGCCCGATATGACTATCGTAACTTTGGCCTGGGATCAGAAAATATATAACTTTATGGATACCAACTTCAGGTGTATTGCATTTTGAGACCTTTCGATGTAGATTCTTACACCGTTATCAAGCCGAGTGACTACAACCAAGTAGTAAGATGTATAGAGAAATGATATGTTGTTTTAAGCAGGAAATTAAAATCAACATCAACAGATAATGTATAACAAGTAGCACACAGATACTTTTATGAAGCCAGATCTTCAGTAAGAATAAAACTATTGAACAAGCTGATTGAGTTCTATTATTTAAACTAGTTTTTATGTTATGCCAGAAACCTATGATTGTGGGTTCGAATCCCGGGTCGCCCCGATTATGTTTCTAGGTTTGTCAGCAACATACCCGTGCTTGTGGGTTTCACCGCAGTGGTAAACGTCTGAGACCTGCATCACTTCGGGTTTTCCTCCCACATTAAGCTGACACGCCGGGATTTTACTGGAATAATGCTAAAAACTTCACATGTTCTCACCAACTTAAAGAATCAAACGGTTTACCTGGGATAATCTTCCTGAAGTTTGAACTGATGAGTTCATGAATAATTTGATAATTAGTTATAGTTTTCTAATTGATTCTTAACTTCTTATTTTCTAAATGATATACCACGTTTTCTTATAATCTGGTTATCTGCAAACTTCCTTTACCTTCATCATCGCGGATATATCATTTTGAGGCTACGTCTTGTTCCTTTATCGTCATCTTCAACATTCAGCTGATGAAGGGGCAAGAACTACCCTTGAAACACTGGGTACAGGAATACAGAAGCTGAATCTTCTTGTATCATGTGCCTCTTGATTGACTATCATTCTCTATTGTTATTACAGTTTGGGGATGAATGTATTGGTGAGATGGTGGACATGACTTTGAAGGTCATACCTTTCGGTGTATCGCCAGCATGGCAACTAGAATGGGTTCGTATTTTGCCACCATCATTATTTAACAGTACATTTGCGGTAAAACATGAATAATATTTGCATTTCTTTTCCATCATACTCATGTCATTTGAGATGTCAAAGCATGTCTCGATCTTTCTTTCAAACAAATACAACCAAGATTCTCGGGAGCAAAAGTCCATCAATGTCCCAATGGCATGCGTGATGTAAGAACCGATTGAAGAGGCTCAGTTATGGGTCTGTTCCAAACTCGAATGTTATCAGTTCGACATGCTATACTTTCTCTACACTGAAAACATGTCATGTTTATCTCCATTTTACCATGGCACAATTGGGAAGTGGTTTAAGTCTCATGTTTTAAGTGGACTGGATTTTGGTTTTGTGAATTTGACCGTAATCGACACAAGTTAATTTTCACACATTTAGATCTGCGAGAGATCAATTTACTAATTATGATGTAAATGTAATTGCGAAACTTACGCTGATTGGAGAGGGTACAGTGATAAATGTAGTCTAACATATTGTTTTACGTTTAATTTTCAGTATATTTAGCAACTATCAATCGTACACCCATGCATGTGCTGTTCCAATAAGACTTTTAAAAGACATACTAATTAAACTGTAAGTGAACAAAAGATTGTCTGATACCAGAACGACGTTATAGTATATATTGCATTTGTATGGTCATATATAGCGTTAATCATTCGTAGGAAACATGATTTGCAACATATGACGAAAACCGAATTTGCTCTGCGATTTCAAAACACGATGGGTAGTAGTAGACATGCACACGGAAAAGGCTTAACTGTTTGACGCTGTAACTCTGTTGTACTAAAGTACGCTCAACTGATCATGACGATAAATGTCGTAGTGCTCTCGCCATTCGCTGTGCAGAGTTGCGCCCCTTGGACACGCCAGATACCTCTGATAGTGGGTTCGAATCCCGGATCGCCGTAATTCTGTTTATAGGTTTGTCAGTACCATACCCGTGCTAGTCAATTCAGTGGAGTAATGGTCTTGTCTTCTGAACCTCATGATCAGATGCTGTCTTCACTATTGATCAGATGTTATCTTCACCAAGCTAGACGTGTCTGACGTTGACGTCGAAGCAAAATATGGTTGTCTTGTTGACATAACGTCATAATTATATCATGAGCATGTGTTCATAAATCACCATCAAATAGTAATGGTACCAGGTGTTTGCGAAAAGGTGAGCGTATCCTGCCCACCGGTGGCACCCGCCACAAACACATGCAAAGGCAAGTCAATTGTTCACCTGAAAAAAAACACGGGAACTCATGGTACAAGTCAAAATAGGGAATTGCACCGCGTGTTTTGTCACTGATGCGTCAAATTTGTGAATGACCTCCACATGTCTACCATAAAACTGAAAGTTTTACTGGGGCCTTGAATGTTGTAACCTTGATCCAACAACCTCTGAGCAAGAGGCGAATGATGCTCTTTGAAATCTTGGTAGAAAGAGCACGCTCGATTGTATCTCAAAGTTGTGAAATGTAGACACCAAACTATTAAGGCTTGAGCTGCTGGAATATTGCTCGACATGAAGGGAAAGTTGACTATTTGAAAGTCAAAGTCACCCCTCTTGTCATACAGTCTATATAGCATGTTATAGGACACGGTGATATTTAAATTTATATGTAAACAAACATTGTGTTAGCAAAAGTTTCAAAAAAATATATCGCATATGAAAAGCCACCAAACAGTAATAGATACCCAGTATGATTAATTGTCTAATTACATATTCAATAGATGGTCAAATTGTACATAAGATTGTAACCGAAACTACACTACAGTTTCGAGTATATGTTGTTAGTGAATTGACTAGGGCTTCATCTTAAATAAAGTATTAGTTAAATTCAGTTATGATTGATGGTATTTCATCACAGATTTTCAGTGATCCATTCATATCATTTTGCTGACACTGCTATTTTGCCTTTAACGCCCATTAGAATCTGTTTCAGCAGAACATCGTGACCGATAATCGAGACTCGTTGTTCTCTGTCGTTGGCATTTCATATGGCTATGTATGTTTGGCAATTTTAGTTATGTTAATATGTAAACCTACTGCAGAGTGATGCCATTTTCTTGTGTAAAAATATATAAAAGGCGTGGCAATTCGCCGCGTTGAGAGATGTGCAGGGTTGAGTCCCTCTGGGAACGTCAGAAACCTATAATCGTGGGTTCGAATCCCGGTTCGCCCCGATTCTGTTTATAGGTTTGTCAGCACCATACCCATTCTAACTGATGGCTGTCCTTCCACATTAAACTGACACGCCGTGATATAACTGAAAGAGTGTTCAAAGGGGCGTAAAATCCAAAACTCACTCACAATAACATTGGGCTAAAAGGCAAAATAGCTGTGAAAATTATGTCAATGGTCCCTCAAATGGCATTTTGTATTTCAACCAGATACTTTCTTTATTAAAAACTATTTGTATATTGAAAATTTTTAAAAAAAATTATACATTTTCTGTGACAATACATCTATATTATTAAAGAATAGCAAATGGTCTGTCAGGTTTTACCGAAACAAACGTCAGACAGAATACTTATTTTTCAGATCACAGTACAGATCAACATCTTCAGTGAAGGTGGACCCTCTAACACAACAACATACATAGCCGACGTGAACTCCTGGCTGGCTTGCGCCTGGAATCCGTTTGTACCTGAGCCAGATGAACGGACATTACCGTTCAGGAAACTTCCGATATCCACTAAGGACTAGGGAGGATGAAGACAAGACAGTCAGGCATCACTGTCAAACGTTAGTCCTTCGAACCGAGTTGATCTGCTCATGTAGTCTTTCTCTCTGGAAACAGTGTTCATGATGCGGACATATACCTAAACTAATTATCGTTTGCAGCAGAAATAAACTACTTCCGAAACCAATTGTCATAATTATGTTAAACATATTAATTACCCTTCCCAACTCGTCATTCTTTTTATGATTTAATGTGTCTTAATATAATTTCTTTAACAAACTACGATATACACAGTATGCTTTAACGAGCTTTGGGTGGTTTTCAGTCATGACGCTGCCTTGGTAGATAAGCGTTCAATCAACGTAACATTTTCATGGAGATTGGCAGACCTGCCCAGGCTGTGGCATGTGCTGTGTCTTCATGGGTATCACACACAACACGTCAACTGAGACCTCTCGATATTCTGCCGAACAGATTCCATTTGGCGTAAAGGGCAAAATAACGGTGAAAATTTTAGGCATGGATCACTGAAAATCAGTGATGAGAACAGATGTTCGCGAAAAGGATAATCATCTCCCTCCACACCGGTAACACCCGTGACTCACAGAATTTGCATAAATATGCCCATCCAAGTGTCTTCCTAATAACGGCGGGGGACACACATCGTAGTCCATGTGGGGAATGGAATCTGGGTCTTTGAAGTGACGAGAGAATACAATAGGAGAAGAAACAAAGAACAAAGATGACGAACTAAAGAATACATATGCATTTACTTTAAAAATCTACACAGTCCGTTTACAAAGACTCTACTCAGTATTGTCCCCTACATCTGTATTGTGTGTCAAGAAGCAATATGTTTTGTTTTTATTAATCAACATTACAGTCTTTACTTCTGACTTGCAAAGAGGTTATTTCAAAGCTATAAACATTTAGGGTTACTTAAAGTTCCTTTTTCAAGATTGACAAATCCATTTCACAATATTATCTTTCCTCCAAAAAAACACAAACGTTATCAAAACGTCTCCAGGCGCCCAGACACTAGTCATGCAACCGTAATCATGATACCCATCCCAAACACAATCATGATACTCGTATCAAACACAGCACCACCGAATAAGCATTTCTTGCGTTGTTAGCCACCATAAACCATGGGAGTGTACTCTCTTTTAAGAGGCAGTGTATTTCCCTGCTAATCAAGTTTCATCTCAAACGTTCCAGTATATCTACTTCCCTCTTGTCAATATCAAAATGACCTTTAATCGTGTTCGAGTCATCGAAATTAAAAAAGAACAAAAAAACAGCTTAAATAAAGATTGTTTCGATAATGATTTTCTTTGCCGCGGTCATCAATATTCAATTTCTGTAACGATGTTCATGTTCGCATGCAAACGAGTAAGGGCCAGGAGAAGCGGTGTTTGATAGTACGTCTCAGTGTTAAGGTCGATTAAAATTGATTGAAATTCTTTGATAAGCATTTCTTACGAGTTGACTGGTGACAACATAGACACAATTTATGGAACTCAACTTCTGTAATATGCTATTTTAGCGACGTTTCAGTCTTGCTTGACAACGGAAGTGTGTGTTATCCATAAATTGTGTCCTCGTTGTCAATCATGAATTGCTGAGGCCTTGCTGAGGCCCCTATAGCGGACATATTCGCGGGGTCTCAAATACGACATCACCCCCTATGCAATATCACAGAGATGTTCTTGGTGGAAAGAGCCATATTGTTCATCCAATCACGTCGCCTTCATATCCCACTGTTGTTTGGGATTGTTATTGTCACAGTCTGAAAGAAATACTGCGGGTGCACTGGTGAGGCACTGATTTAACTCCGGGTGACGGATTAAGCCTGTTTCCTGAAATGATATAAAGGATAATGGTAGCAACATGTGTTGGGTATCCGATGCCCGGAAATTTCATATGGAACCGTCAGCCGGATTCACTCATGGAACATTTCCGTGCATTGAATACTTATTGATTCGCAAATCGGAAAACGATTGTATTTTTAGTGAGGATAAGTTATATGGATGAACAACGTTTCGGTTCTTACACCGTTATCTTGTAAAGAGCGACTGACGGGATCGTCTGGTCAGACTCGCTGACTTGGTTGATACATGTTATCGTATCCCAATTGCGTAGTTCGAGGCTCATGATGGCAATCACTGGATTGTCTGGTCCAGATTCAATTATTTACAGACCGCCGTCATATAGCTTGAGTGCGGCTTTAAACAAGAAAACAAACAAACATTGAGCTGTGACACCACCACTGTACCATGGCGTCCTGACGAATAAACACGGGAAGAGTGAGTGTGAGTGAGTGAGTTGGGTTTAACGCCGCTTTTCACAGTATTCCAGTTATATCACGGCGCGTCAGCTTAATGTGGGAGGAAAGCCCCAAGTGATGCAGGTCTCAGACGTTTATAAATTCGGTGAAACCCACGAGCAAGGGTATGGTGCTGACAAACCTAGAAACATAATCGGGGCGACCCGGGATTCGAACCCACAATCATAGATTTTTGGCGAGCCCAAGGAACGCAACCCTGCACAGCGAATCGTGGCGCCTTAGACGACTGGGCCAACCGTGCCCCCGGAATATTGTTGAGTGCGACATTAAAAACACACAAACAAAGGGTTGTTAAACCATATCTGTGATTCGTATATTCGGTAATCACTCATAATGATCAGGTGGTTATAATATGTGATCAGGCTAACTGTGTCTGATTTGTTTTGTTCATACTATCAACCACTGGTGTACTTAGATCCCCTGGCTCCCAACGTGTGAAGCCCATTTCTGGTGTCCCCCGCCGTGATATTGCTGGAATATTGCTATTGTATAACTGGTAATATAAAACGGGTCCTGACAAAACAGGGTTGTTACAATTGTTGAACTTGTTATATCCAAACACTAGTATCTCCCAGGTAGCGGTAGCTTGTTTCTTCACTTAAGATATCGGACCCCTTTTAATCCAGAGTACTTTTAGTTCCGGCCCATGTCAGACAGGCTCGGTTCTTATTCCTTTCGTATCGGTGTACCGGGGCTGACGAGAAAGGGCGTTTCAGTTTAGAAAAAAAAACAGTGGTCATAAATAATGGGGAAATATTAAATGTAGCTGGTCAGTTTCTGCTATTGTGAAACAAATATGCAAGACACCGGCTGATATTTACTTGCTCTCAATAACTACCCGATTCTTAACTTAACCCGGTACCTTGAAAGATAGCTGGAAGTTTTCCCTTAATAGAGAACATACGGTACCTTGAAAGATAGCTGGAAGTTTTCCCTTAATAGAGAACATACTGTACCTTGAAAGATAGCTGGGAGTTTTTCCTCAATAGAGAACATACGGTACCTTGAAAGATAGCTGGAAGTTTTCCCTTAATGAAGAACATACGGTACCTTGAAAGATAGCTGGAAGTTTTCCCTTAATAGAGAACATACGGTACCTTGAAAGATAGCTTGAAGTTTTCTCTTAATAGAGAACATACGGTACCTTGAAAGATAGTTGGAAGTTTTCTCTTAGTAGAGAACATGCGGTACCTTGAAAGACAGTTGGAAGTTTTCTCTTAATAGAGAACATACGGTACCTTGAAAGACAGCTGGAAGACACCAGAAATGGGCTTCACACATTGTACCCATGTCGGGAATCGAACCCGGGTCTTCGGAGTGACGTGCGAACGCTTTAACCACTAGGCTACCCTACCGCCCCCAATAGTTGAGGAGGACCTGCTCAATGATCTGAGCATTTGTAGTATTGCCATATTCTAGGAGAGGAACTTATCAGTCAACAATGCGTTTTCCTCAAGCAATTTTAGAATCCTTAATAAAGCTATCACATCCCCAGATGGTGAAAACCGTCCGGTTGGGGATTTCTGGATGAACATCCCAGGCATCAGTTTCTTAACTAAGGATTGTTGTACAACTGCATAACACACAACTGCTTGACATGTAGTCCTAGTGGTCTAAGAAGTTGTACATGAACTCTTTTCACTATGCAGGTTAGCAAGGTAGTATAGACTTGAAAAGGATCATTACTCCTTTCATCACACCAGTGAATCCACCTCAGTTGGGAGATTATAAAGCTCGTTACTTTGGGAAAAAAGGACAGAGAGGGTACCGTGTATAGCTTTGTCTGAAAGGAAACAAATCGATCGCAAATGGGCCCAAATCCTGTTGCGTTAAGCGAACAAGTCTGGGGAGAGCTTCCAGTCACTCCAGTAAAGTACAATGCATACTGTAGGAACTTTGTTATATTTTTCTATGACGTTTTCCCAAAAGCTCCTAGTCAGCAAACAGTCCTTAGCTGTAACTGGCTAATCGTCACGGATATTTACCTCGAGTTTCAAAATTTGAACGAAAATAAGTGAAAAAGGCTTGTCAATTTGCTTGGGTAGATTACTTATACAGCTGGAACATTACCTACTGCGTCTTTTAAACAACAATAACTCGCTTCGCTAGAGTAATAACATAAGAAATATAATATCCCATCTCGTCTAGCCTGTCAGTGGAACGAATTATTCCCATTGGAACCACCCAGTACAAAGCTTCTGTAAAAACTGGAAATCAGGACAAGGCTAGCACGGATTCAAGTGTAACCTTCATAATCCGCGGGGCAAAGGGACAAGTCGAGCACCTCCTTGACGTTCCACACGTTGATGACTTTCAACAGAACGCTCAGGAGACCTTTACTGTAAGTTGAACTTCGCAGTTGCTTCTGTTTAATCCTTTTTACAGCTTAAAGGTATATCTTGGTATCAATGTCACATTATGTAGACAACATGATACCGTAGCGCATCAAAGTCTAACTGAACAATAGGCGTCAGAATGATAATATATATGATACAGCAATGTTTGGTGTGAAGCATTAAATTCTAGATTTAAAACAGGGTTAAATTTTCAAAAAGTGTTCGCTGGATATCATGAACAGAAATGTGTTATAAATTAAATTGATTGACTCCTTCTTTCACAGAGGACAGAAAATTAAACAGATAGGCAGTCTTCACAAAAATCGCTATTATTGTAACGAAGGCATATTATGTCTTTGAAGAAGGTACCTTTTTGGTTTGAATGTTTTTTTGTACTTTCCTGGGAGTTTGTTGTGTTTACCAAGCCGATTATGCGGCTACATTGCCTTTAATTAT